GGCACGCGTCAGACCTTAAAAAGTCTCCAGGCAAAACCAACACCAGGGAAAACAGAAACAAAAACCCTAGAGGAAAGTTTTAGCCTCTGACACCTACAGCTACAGAGAACAATAAACACAGCAGAACCTCTGGCCAGGTAAAAGTAAACGGAAAGCCTTACACTGAAGAACTCTTTGCCTTAGGTCCTTTCACTGAATAAATCATGGCTGGCTTTCAAAAAACCACTCAAAGCACGCTAAAAGGGAAAAACCCAAGTCTGAAGAGACAATCCAAGCATTGGAACCAAACTCAGAAATGGCAGAGATGGTAGAATTATCAGAACAGAATTTAAATTTAAAGAGAGAGAAAAAGTGAAACAGGGAAAAACTCGTCAACTCTGTAATCAACCACTGGAAGATCAGTCATTGTTTTTAACTTCAAAAATAATTGGTTAACAAATTTATCAACACTTACGTTGTACAGACCTGCCTCTATATGACACTTGTACATTTCTTCTAAGTTCTTAATACGAGAAGGATGAGCTCTTCTAATATCTCGGTTACAGTAGTTAAACACAAAGTAGAGAAAAGGTGCTGGGAGCTTCCCCCAAGCACAGAAGGGAGAAGTTACAGATCTTCTAATCTTATCCCATTTTATTAGTGAAAAAACTGAGTGCAGGAGGACAAGTGGATTTGCACAAGGCCACCAAAGAGCACTCAGTTCTCTGACATGGTGCCCTGACTTTGTTATGCTACAAATCAAAACAAGTACTTAAAAGGTCATCCGTTTTAACAATAAAATATATTTCAAGGGGAGCCATTCAATGTGTAAATTAAGATCACATTAATAATTTTTGTTTTGTTTTAGGTTTTTTTGAGAGAGTGTCACTCTGTTGCCTAGGCTATAGTGTTGTGGCATCAGCCTAGCTCACAGCAACCTCAGACTCCTGCATTCAAGCAATCCTCCTGCATGAGCCTCTGAAGTTGCTGGGACTACAGGTACCAGCTACAATGCCTGGCTAGTTTTTCTATTTTTAGAAGACACAGGGTGTCAGTCTTACTCAGGTTGGTTTCAAACTCCTGGCCTCAAGCAAGCCACCCACCTTGGCTTCCCAGAGTGCTAAATTTATAGATGTGAGCCACCCTGCCTGTCTCAAATTAATTAATTAAGATAATAGATTTCCTTTCTCTTTTTTAATAACGGATATGAAAAATTTAAAATCCATGGGCCAGATAAAGCCTTCATTTAAAACATTTGCAGTACTTGGAATTATTTTTGTATTGTTTAGTGTTTTACCAATCCATGCTTACTATAAAAATATTTCAAACAGTAAAATACAAATCTAATTTCCTTTATAGTTGCCATACTTCCTACCTAAATCCCCAATTGTTTTTGTTTTACAAAAATGAAATTTTACTACACAAATAATCTTACAACTTTAAAGTACATAATTTTAGCTCATAAATTCAATCTTAATTTTGTATGTTACCAAATAATTAAATTTAGTCACTGGTGATAACATTTTTGAAGCTTTCTTCTACGTATCCTGTTAATACCAATAATTTTTGCTTTCATATAAATAAAATCCTAAAATCAATAGTTAACTGGCTTAAGATATTCTAATAGTCTTGATTTAATCATGCCCTACTAGTCTAGGGGCTTACATTGATCCTTTAACCTCAGTCAGTTTAGCAAACATAAATACAAAATTACCTGTTTCATCATGGTAATTCACAGCTTCTGTCTCCATCCATGCATTATCAGTGTTTCGAGGATCATCAACATATCCCTTATATATCTATTTTTGAAAGGAGACATTTTTTTTTTATTTCAACATATAATGATGTAGGAATATGGCAGAAAAGGTGAGCTAAGAGACCCTACAAGCAGCCACGTGAACAAGGAAGCCACAAGCAAGTCGCTGCCTAGGACCACTCGAGGACAGGGGAATTGCTAAGCAGGATACCCTACAAACTGCTTGCATTTCCCCTTCCGTGACAACACTTTATGACTAAACTTTACGGCCTGACAGCGAGTCCATGTTGGTCATGTATGGCTGTTTCCTTATGAGGTTTTTCAACATTTAAAAAGGTTACCAGCGTCCCATAACACATTCCTCCCCCTACTCTGTCTGTGCAGTAGGGTCTGCTGTCTGTCTCTCTCCGTCCTCTCCTTATTGCTGGGTGGCTTGCTTTCAAACTCATTCCCACGTGAAGGCAAGAACCCACCAGTGAGCTCACCCTCCCTTCACTGAGCACCCCGGCATCGGCAGCAGAGAGGAGGGGAGACACACGTTACCGTCGCCAGAATCAGAAACAGGAACATCCTGCCGCACAGCAGCGTGAACACTCTCCACGCTGCTCAACTGGACACTTATTGGTTCAGATGGGAAATGTCATGTTGTGTTTCTCAGCAATGTATTTTTTTAAAAAAAGGTAAATATCATAGAACCTTTACTGTAGTATTCCACACACTTGTTTCAAATTTCCCAGGGATTCATATTCTCTTTTGAGGACGCGTCAAATCCACTACTCAGACTCTAATTTCAGATTTGAGAATAGTCAGATTTAGGCCACATGATTTTTAAAAAGTGTACATAATTTGGCTGGGGGCAGTGGCTCACACCTATAATCCTAGTACCCTGGGAGGTCGACGCAGGAGGATCGCTTGAGCTCAGGAGTTCAAGACCAGCCTGAGCAAGACCCCCTCTCTACTAAACATGTGGTGTAGACACATGTTATGGTGGGCACCTGGAGTCCCAGCTCCTCAGATGGCTAAGCCCAGGAGCTTGAGGTTGCTGTGAGCCTGGGCAACACAGTGAGATTCTATCTCCAAAAAAATAAAAATAAAAACTTAAAAAAAAGGTACACACTTTATGTATTTTTATATTTTAATAATTTCTGTGATTAGAGTTTCAGAAACACAAAGGTAGACGATTCTAGTTAAACAAAGGTGATCTATAAATAAAACTAAGTTGACAGGTAAGATTTGGATCTAGTCATCTAACTAACATGACCAAAACAAATCTGGAGAACATAAATAATTAAGAAATCCCAATTCTGAAAAGAGAATAAAGCAATTCAAACAAAAGCCAACAAAGGTGAAAAGAAAATCTATTCTTTTCCTCAGCAGTACTACACATATCCCTTATAAGGTTATTTATTAAAAATCACAGATCTAATACAGACAAAACAGACATGAGACTTAAATGGTTGTCAACCAGAAAAACTCTGTATATCATTTAATATGTAAATGTCCTTTCAGAGAGAGTTGAATTCATGCAAAAGAAAAAGGTTTTCTATTGAATGGGTACTCAGCATGTAAGAAAATAGTTTCTCACATGTAAAGAAAAACTAGGAGGAAAAAATGATTATAATAAATGATACAATTAACCTAAAGTTGAGCATAAAACTTTAAATATAATAGAAATCTACTTAGAGTGAAGATCTAGACTTTGTTTTCATAACTACATTTGAAATCAAATATACAAGTATTCCACTTCACTTAGAGAAGGGTCTACTAGATTTACAGGCAAACTTTGAATCATTTTCTTTAATCCAAAGGACCAAATCCCCTCTAGGAACCACCATGTCTTACCACGAGATGTTCTTGGCTGAAGAGTTTGTGCAACTGTTCCTCTATTTCTCTCTTCTCTGCACTAGATTTCTGCAAGGAGTTGAGAGCTTCCTCACCGAATTCTCTTTTCAGTGTGGCACTAATCTTCTCTCCTGGATCCACCATCCCCTAAGAGTTACATTAAAAAAAAGGTAATAAGCTTTGAGTCACTCAACACATACTTATGGAGAGGTACAGTGGACATTTATGATTCTATCTGCCCATAAAAGTAATCCCCATTCCTCTGTGATATGTTCTTCTCTAAAGTAGTTGTAGCAGAAGCAGCCAATGTAAGGATACATTATACATATATATATATTTCTCTGCAGTGATTGGTCCAAGGCCAGCCTATGGCAAACTGAGCCAATCAAACTAATTTCCTGGTGTTTTCCAAACTCAAACTAAGGCAAGAAGGCCTTGATACAAGAAAAAAATACGGCAAATTCATCCTTCCCTCATTGTTCATTCCATTCCAGCCACACTATCTCTTCAGTATTCGCATGACATGCCACACATCCTCCCACCTGAGGGCCTTTGCACCTGCTGTTACCACTGTCAAGATGCTTTTCCCCAGATACCCACATGGCTCAGTCGTTTATCTCCTTCAGATCTTCACTCAAATATCTCCTTCTCAGGGAGAGTCTTTAACTTTCCTGTCTAAACTTGTGAACTCTCAAACACTTCCTAGGCCCCTGCCTTAAGGTTTCTCTTATCACCTTCTATATAATATATTTAACTTATTTATCTTATATGATCTGTCTCTCCTACTGGAACGTGAACACTAAAGAACAGGAATGTTTCTTTTGATTGCTCTGTCGCATTCACAATGTCTAAAATATTAGTTGGCAAAGATACTCAAAATACACTGATTAGATGAGTAACTCTCAAAATATCAATGACAATAGTTCTCTGCTTGATAAGAATTTCAAATTACAATAAAAATATAAGATCCTTTAATGACATAATTATGTTATTGCATTCACCATAAGTTTGACTATTTGACCCACAGAAATTAGCCTAAGCTCTTATCGAAGTTAGCTCAGATCTTTATTGACAAAGAAAAAAGACTTTCTTGCAAATAGTGGTTTATAAAGTGTCGTCTTCACATTAAACTACCTCTATTTCATAATACAGCATAAAATATAAAATCCTCTACCACACACATTTTAAAAGGCCACTTCAAATACACCACTGGTATAGATTCGAACTAAAGGCCAAAAAAAGTGCACCCTTCTTAAGGATATTACAGAAATTTTTAAGACTACAAGAATAGTAGGTAATAAAAGCTATCATTTATTATTATGGCTATGTCCAAAGTTATCAGTATTCAACAAAAAAATGTTAAAAATATTACCTGGGGCTTGAAGTAGCGGTTAAGCTCTGCGATGGGAGCCAACATTGATATTGGCTATATTGCCTACCACATACCAGGGGTTTATATGCTGTCTCCCGTAATCCTGTGAGGCAGGTATTTTTATTTTAAAGACAAGAGCCTGAATTCCATATCCCCCCAGTTGTAAGAGGAAAAACCAGAACACAGGCCTAGATCTAACTCCAAAGTCTATGTTCTTTTCTAAGGGTATCAGAATTAGACTCAGATTCTAAGAGCCTTTGGATGATCCTAAACTTGTTACTGATAATGACACTTCATGGCAGGGATGAAAGAAAAAAGAACTACTGCTTGAACTGGGGAGAATGGAAGATACATGGAGCAGGAAAAGTGCCCAGACAACGGCCTTACAGTAAGCATAAACAACTAACAAGAATTTGAACATTAACTTTATTTAATTTTAATGCTCACCCCTGGGATTGCCCATTCTCCACAGTCTTTCCTTTTTATTGCAACAAACTGTAAGATGTGTTTCCCAGAAACCGGATGGGTGATTTTATTTCCACTGCTATCTCTTTTCCACCTGTGAATAGTAATGTGAAATCATAACTGACTTACAACAAAGACAAGATTCTAATTCAAGCTTGAGACAAATTATAAAGGGATAGTTTTCTTTATAGCACAGCATATATAAATTTACCTCAAATCAGCTAGTTTTACAAGAGAACTATTGTTTTTTTATTAGAAATAGTCTATATTTAGCGCCATTACAAACCAGTACAAATACCTACATTAAATAAAGGATATTGATTCACCGCAAAAAAATAATTCAGGACATAAGCAGCAGCTTTT